GTGTGTTCGTAAGGCAAACAATTTGTAGTGCTGCTATTGTTTGTAGTAGATCATTTCATCCTGGGAGATAGACGTCCAAATTCTGAAAGCACCGTGGAGAGGACGAATCTGTCTTAAGGACACAGTGTCAAACACTGGACTTGATCAGATTATAATTCGAAAAAATTAAATCAAGTAAGTTATTTAATTAATTTTTGTGTTATTGTTATGTATTTAAATCAGATTTTAATTTTGTTTTTGTAACAAAATAAAATATGTTTTTATTTATTTATTTATTATTTCGAGTTTGATTTTTGTAATCAAACAAATTCTCTCATTTTCTTTATTTCTTTAAATTCTAGTTGTTGTTTTTGTACACAATAAAATTAAATCTTATAAATACAGTGAAAATTGTCCAACAAAATTTCTTCTAAAAAAAACAAAAAAAAAATTGTTGATTTTTTTTTCAATTGATTTGTTTCAGTTTTAAAAAAATTATGCTCCAAATTTATTATTATTTTTTTCAATTGATCTGTTTCAGATTTAAAAACATTATGCCTTAGATTTATTGATTTTTTTTCAATTAATCCGTTTCATAATTTTTTTCAATTGATTTGTTTCAAATTTAAAAAAAAATTACTTCAGATTTATTGAATTTTTTTCCAATTGATCTGTTTTTGTTTGAGCTTTTCTAGAAAATGACGAGAAAAAAAAGAAGGAAATGAAGAAAATCAGTTGGTGTTGGGTGAGCTGGCAGATTTGCCATTTGCCAAAGTTGTTGTCAAATTTGGCAACAGCTTTCGCATTTGCCATTTTTAACAGCTGCTATATCTCACCACTAGAGAACCCTACTTTCCTCAAAGCTGCTATATTATAGCTTTGATGCTCTAGTCCTCGTTTAGGAATATGTTTTTTTAGTAATTTTTTGACTATTTAGCTAAGATATGATTTTAAAAAACTAGTTTGTTTGTGATAAATTTTTGATTTTTTAAGAAAAGATGTGGAAAAAGTAGAGAAAAATGAATTTTTTTGACTTTTTGGTATAGATTATTGGTTTTTTGATTTTTTATTTGGGAACAGGATTTTTAATATTTTTTTAGTTTTTTTTGCTAAAATATGATGTGAAAAAATTAGCATGTTTAGGATATTTTTTGATTTTTAACGAAAAGATGTGTAAAAAGTAGAGAGAAAATGATAATCTTTGACTTTTTTGTATAAGATGTTGGTTTTTTTGATTTTTTTAGAAACTTTTTTGCTCTTAAGCTAAAAAGTAATGTTGCCAAACGAGGTCTAACTTTTTGACTTTTAGGTTAAAAAGTGATATTGCAAAATGAGACCTAATAAATGAAAATATGTAATCGAGACATTTAAAAAGTAATGGAACTAAATTGAGAAAAATTAATTTTTAGATCATTTTTAAAAAGGGATATATATTTTAGGGGCCATATGGGTCGTTTAACTATAAATTCTATTAAGATCTTGTTTGGTAATTCAATATTTTAGTTTAAAAGTTAAAAAATTGCTAAAAAAAAAAAATCAACAATTTATATTAAAAAATCAAAAATTCATTTTTCTTTTAATTTTTTACACATTATTTTGTAAAAAGTTAAAAAGTCATAACAAACATATTAATTTTTTTTATCTCATATTTTAATAAAAAAATTTAAAAATTACTAAAATAACATATTTTCAACATGTCAGTCCATATTCTTAGATAATAAAAGTTTGATAAGTCATCATTATTGGATTTAAATGGTTACTATTGTCAAACATTATTTTAGAGGAATTATTAATAAATTTTATTTTGCTATTAATATTACCTTTTTTGTTTTATTTTTTAATTTTTAAAAGAGTAGGAAACTATCAAATTAGCGTTCGTTTTAAAAAATATTATAAATTAACAATAAATTTTATAAATATTAATAATTAATATGTTATTTCTTTTAGGAATCTATAATTATATTTTCAAACTTCAACAGATGATTCAAATCTGTTTGAATGAGGGTCAAATTCATCAAAGATTTTTGAAACAATATGTCCTTCAATTTCCAAGAAAGTTGGACCAAATGACTTATTTTTTTCAATTTCCAAGAAAGTTGGACCAAATGACTTATTTTTTAAAAGAGTAATACTTAACATGATTATTATTCAGTTTTGTTCTTTCTTAGACATGACCTATTTGGCAATAGCAATAAGGTTAATATTTTCTTGTTAAAAATATATGAATAATCCTTTGGAGCATGAATCTTTCTTTCCCAAATCTCTGGACTGCCCACAGGGCTGGCCCTGAAAATTTAGGACCCTAGGCGAGTTTATAAATTTGGGCCCCTTGTATATACGCCCAAAAAAAAAAAAAAATTGCTAGTGGCAACTCAAGTTTACTTGAGTAAATTTGGGCCCTTTGTTTTCAATTGGACTAATTTATTTATTTATTTATTTTTAATATAGGCCTGCAACATGTTTTTATTTGAGCCTTTTATAGTGGGCTGTTTTATTTTAGAGGGCTTCTATTTTAGTGAGTTGTTTTGTTTTTGAGAGCTTCTAACAATAATCGGACTTTATTTAAAACTTGATAGTATAATGGATCTTCAAAATTTGGGGCCCTATTTTGGGCCAAATTTTGGGGGCCTTAGGCACAGGCCTTACTCGTTTTAGCCCAGGGCCGGCCCTGACTGCCCAAAACGATGTCGTTTTGGGCAATTTCTTCTTCTTTTTTTTTTCCCCCTTTTTCTCCTTATGTCTGAAAACAGAGAGAAAGCAGATAGAAGAGATAAGAAGAGGAAGAGGAAGAGGAAGAGGAAGAGAAAGAGAAAGAGAGAAAGAGAAGAGAGGGGATGAGAGAGAGAGAGGGGAGATCGCCTGGCGGAGAAGAAGACGGTGATGGAGAAGGAGGAACACACACAGCAGACAGTGATGGCGCCGGTGGGTCTCTCGCTTCTATTCTCTCTACTTTTTTTTTTTTTTTTAGTGGATCTGGATATGGATCTGAAGATGAAGATGTTGATGATTGTTGTTGTTGATGATGATGTTGTGTTGTTGGATTTATTTTATTTTTCAAATTCGACAATGTTGTTGTTGATGAATGTATGATTGATTTTTTTTTTTTTTTTCTAGATTCAACAAAAATTATGATGTGTTGTTGAATGCATGATGTTGTGTTGTTGAGGAATGTGTTGTTGTTGTTGTGTTGATGAATGTGTTGATGAATGTATGATGTTGTTTTTTTTAGATTTGACAATCTGTTTCTCCTCTCTTTTGCTGTTGATAAAGATGATGTTGTTGTTGTCAATTTCCTCTCTCTCTCTCTCCTCTCCTCTCTTTTCTTCTAATGATGTTGTTGCTGTTGATTATTTCAATTTCGGGCGATTCGGGGGCTCGTTTTCGAGCTACGCAGCATTTTCGAAAATATATATACTATTTTTTACTACAAAATCAAAAGTAGAAAGGCTGATTTTTATTTATTTTTTGTTGCTAAAAACAACAATAATATGGTTATTTATAAGAAAAGAACAACAAATTAAAAACACACAAAAGTCTATCAATAATAATAAATAAATATTTTTAATAATTACCAATTACATAAATTTTTTATTATAAAAAGATGAAATAGCAACATGCTATTAAAAATTAAACTATCAAGCCCTACCATAATGTAATAGGACTTGCATCAATAACTATATATAAAATTCACTATCATCTTCAATCCTTAATATAAAAAAAAATTCCATATAATTTGAGTAAAATGTTTGATTTGTTATGAATCACACCAATATTTTCATTAATTTCTCATCAAACTCTTTTAAAAATTTAACTTATTATCTCAAATTTATATTTTCAATAATTTTGATTTTAAAAAACCATGTTCAAAGCTTCATTTTTTAAAAATAATTTGATGAATTATCAAATTGATGGAAAACAAAATGTCTATTCCTTTATTTGATTAATGGATTGAAGATAGTTTTTTAGCATATTTTTTTATAAAAAATAATTTTGATAAAAAAAATAAAGAAGTTAAAGATTAGAACTGCTCTTATCTATGCATAAATGTGAAAAAATTTCAGAATAATTGCTTTGATCAACAAAAGTTAATAGTTAATTATTAAATTAGTATTTAAAAGGAGTTGAATTCACACGAACTCATCTAATACCTCTTATCAATAGAGTCTTGGTGGCCAAAGAGCTAGCCATATAGGCTACAATCTCTTGGTTGATAGACATTATAACATGAGTAATGCTAGAAATTTTAAAAGATTTATCAAAATTTTTATCAAATATTTTACATGGGTGTGGGACTCGCATGAGACCCACATGGTGTGAGTCCCACATTTGATAAAAATTTTGATAATTTTTTTTGAATCTCTAACATTTTTCTTATAACATATGTTCATGAGTTTGATTAATTTTTAATTTATTGTTGTTAGTTATATTGAAATATGATACAGAAAGTGTAAATAGTATAATTTTATTTTAATTTACCCCCTAAAATATGAATTAATCATTAAAACGTAAAGCAGGACTTATTAATAAATAAATTTAGGACTTACTTGTAATTGTCCCTAAAATAAAGGGTAAATTACAAATACACCTCTTGAGGTTTGTTTAAAGTACAGATTATTCTCTGTGATTTGAAAAATTACAAATACCTCATTGTTAGTACTTTTTATTTAACAGAATTAACTAAAAAAATAAATTCATAATTGCTCTCCTATATAATAATAAAATTACATAATTTATTAATTCAAACTTATTTCTAACTGTTAATTGATTTGATGATTTGTTAATAAAATGAGAGATTTGTTATGAAATTAAAAATGTCAAGGGATAGAATGTAATTTCAAAAATCACAAAAAATAATTTATATTTTAATCAAACTTTGGTGAGTAGTGAGTGTATTTTGTAATTTACCCTAAAATAAAATATCCATCCATATTCTTTGTTTCGTGTTGTATTATTCATTTATTTATTTATTTTGGTTTTAATTTTAAATTTTTTCTTATCGTACGCAGGAGGAGGAGGAGCCCCCGTGCGCAGTACGCACCTCGAGAATTCTGAGAACGCCAATCCCCGTAATTTCCACGCCCCGCATTACACGACTACTACGCATTCTCTCTCTCTCTCTCTCTCTAGACAGAGACACCTTCCCAAGTCCACCACACCACACCCGCCATGAACTCTCTGGTACGTCTCATTCAAGTTCTGTGTTCAATCTCTTGCTTTCGCATCTAGGGTTTTTGATCTACATCCACATCTCTGTATCTCATCTGAATTATTGTTAAATCCTATTATCATATATCCGTATGTATTTGTTATTGCCCCTTTGTTTCTATTCTCGATTTAGTTTTTCTAATAATTCTAATAAATTCTTGAAATTTTTATTCCGTTTGTATTGTCAATTACTACAAAGTATGCTCACTTCGACAGATGTGGTATGAAAATCAATCGCTCGATCTTTTACTGATTGACACAAAAAAAAAAAAAAAAATGTAGATGAAGGGAAAAAGAAAAACTGAAAAAAGTAATGAAGTTTGAATTTTGATATTTAAATTAAAAAAAAAAAAAATTTTAAGGCAGTTGCTGGATAACTTGGGAATGAAAAAATATTTAATAGATTATATGCAATTCTGGGAGATGTTAATTTGTTTGGGTTTACTTGGCACATGACTTAGATTTGGTCTTATATCTTTGTATTTGAGGGGGTAATGTGTATGTAGTGTTTTCTTTATCAGTATTCATTAGCTTATGTATAGATTGCTCATGAATATGTGGGTACAATTGAACTAATAGTTTCGAATTAGGTTGATTTTTGGTTGTTCAAGTTATGCATTTGAATTGCAATAGTGTTTAGATGATAAGATGAGAAGAGAAAAGCTATTAGAGAAATTGGTTTTGGAATTTAATCAGTATCTCCATCTCATAAGTACTTATATTAAATCCAAAACAATATTATAAGAATACCCTTCTTGTCATAACCTGAAATGAGCAATAACGTTAGGATGACCGTATCTTTTTACCACACTTTGTTTACCACCTTATATGGTCATCCTAGTATTATTGTAAAATGAGATGTAAAAAACAACCCACTAAACATTTTCCATTTTGGTAGTTTTTTTTTTTATTATTTGTCTTCGATCCCCATTGCACTTTTAGTTTCCATTTTTGTTATCTTTTTTTTATTTGTATGCTGCAGCAACTTATTTGAAGCTGAACAATGATAATAATATGTGACCAAAATCTAAAAACACCCTTCATTCAGCTTCAACATAACCCCCCCCCCCCCCCCCCCCCAAAAAAAAAAAAAAAAAAAAAAAATCTAAGCTAATTTTTATCAAATAAGCTATATAAATAGAAGTTACAAGAAACAACCTCTCACAGAATCTGAAAAAGAAAAAGAAAAAAAAAAATCCATAAATTAAAGTTGCAACAAACACTTAATAAATCCGGGCAAGCATTGTGTTTGTGCTTTTGAAGATTCGCAAGCTGGCACTTGAGTGCTTTGTTGTTGTTTTAAGTCCGAGAACATTATGTGAATTGATGTTTTTGGAAAAATGAGTCTGGTGTTATTCACTTGTGTTGTTCAGTTAAGGTACTTATTTATTTATTTATTGGCAATTAAGCATCTATGTTTCATTATATTAAAAGGTTGTCGATCAGCAGCACAATACAGAGGTAACAATATGTTTCGATTAAGGTGAATATTTTGGAATCACAGTTGATACTATTAGGTATATGTGGATAAGATATTCTGTTTTTCAGATTGGTTTATCTTCATATTATCTTCATTTGTTGAAAAGTTTGTCTCTAGTCGCCGATATGTTTTTAATTTCTTGATTTCCCTGTTTAAACTGCAATTTCTCTAATTATTATGTATCATGACTGTTTGGTGCGGGGAATTTTGGTGATGTAAAATTGAGCATCAACTTACGCTTTAATTGGGGATTCCAATCCTTAAATAGCTTTAAAACCTGAATTTTTTTGTCAATTGGTGGTTGTTGAACTCTGAGCCTTTGGATGCAGCAGAATCAATCAGGTGTCTGGGCTTGAGGTTTAAGGTTTGGCTGGACTATTAAGAGATCTGATTGATAGAAAATGTCAAGTGTCGGAAACACACATTGGTGTCATCAATGCAGGCAGCCAGTTCGGCTTCAAGGTCGTAACTTGGTTTGCCCATATTGCAGTGGGGGCTTTGTTCAGGAACTCAATGAGATGGTGGGCACCAGACAACAACATGATTTCTTTGGATTTCATTCAGAAGATGGTTCCAACTTTGGATTTAATGAACCGTTCCCTGACCCAAGATTTGGAATTATGGATGCCTTTGCGTCTATCATGAGGCAGAGAATGGCCGGAAGAAACCCTAACTTCGACATTAGAGCGAGATCTGGTCTTGTCCCTGAACAAAACATGGCACCTTCTCGGCCATGGTTGATGTTGTATGGCCAAGTCCCCGTTAGGATGTCTGATAATGACGGGTTCGACTTCTTTTTTGGTGGCAGTCCAAGAACCGGGCAAGGGAGAGAGAATTTTGGTGATTTTTTCATGGGTCCGGGGTTTGAACAATTGATTGAACATCTTACTATGAATGATAGGCAGGGTCCACCTCCAGCACCTCGTTCATCAATTGAGGCTATGCCCACGATTAAGATCAACCAGACACATCTCACCACTGATTCCCACTGCCCCGTTTGTAAAGATAAGTTTGAGTTGGGGAGTGAAGCGAGGATGATGCCGTGTAACCATATCTATCATTCTGATTGTATTACTCCTTGGTTGGTTCAGCACAACTCATGCCCTGTTTGCCGTCTTGAGCTGCCTCCGCTCGGTTCTACCAGCGTTCGTGGTGTTGATCGAAGATCATCGAGTGGTGGGAATGGAAGCACTGGCAGTGGCAGCAGTAACAGTAATGGCAGTAGTAGGAGGGAGAGTGGCAGATCAAATCAGGGGAGGAGGAATCGGTGGTCATATTTGTGGCCTTTTTGATCATCCAAAACAAAACTACTCTTATGAAGTTGACAATGGGGTGAATGACTTTTGAATGGCCTTTCAATTACCAATAAGTTTGTCTCTATTGCTGTTTTTGCTTTGCTTTAATTGTTGTGTGCTTAGTAAATATGTTACTGTTGGATTGTAAGTGGAATTAAAAAGTTGCCTTGCAGTGAACTCTTCAATATGCTGTTAAGAGGTATACAAAGTTTGTTATCATCATTTTGTGTAATGTTTTAACCTAAGTCTGCTTTGATCCTTTTATATATGTATATATATATATATATATATTATGCTGTTATCATTATTATTATAGTTTTTCTTTTTTTGTTTGGTACTCGTGACTTGGAAAATATTTCATATTTGTCATTGACATTTGTACTATGTTCAGGGTTTGCATTTCTTACCAAGGGCAGCTCCACGCTTATGTCAAAATTTGTACTATCTTCAGGGACGCTTATCAATTTTTTTTATGACATTTAAGTAAAAACTCTCTTTAATATTAAGGTCTCGTTTGAGAACATGTGTTTTTAGTAATTTTTTAGTTTTTTAGACTAAAATATGATGTAAAAAAAAAATAGTATTTTGGGATGATTTTTTAGTTATTTTATTAAAAAAATGTGCAAAAAGTAGAGAAAAAATATTTTTTTTGACTTTTTGGTATAAGTTGTTGGTTTTTTGATTTTTTCGATGACTTTTTGACTTTTAGGTTAAAAAGTGATGTTGTCAAACAAGGCCTAAGTGCTCCAATGGAAGGTTATGTGACTTCATCAAACCATTGGTCGACCGGGCGGACGACCAAGCGGTCGATCGACCAGTGTAATTTTTTCAGAAATTTTTGCCTTGAGGTGGCCATTCGGGAGGACATCCGATGGTGAAAATCTAATGGCAATGAACAGTGATTTGATAAAAGGCATAATGGTTTTCAGTTTGATAAAAGAAAAGTGAAATTTTGGATTTGATGAACTGTTGGAGGAGCAAAAATCAACTTTTTTTTTAATCAAATTTAAATTTGATGATGGATTTAATGAACCAATGGAGATGGTCTTAGCAATGTAAAATTGAGTCAATTACATTGACCATAGTAAATTCTATAGTTTTGATATAATTTTATTGAATTCTCTTTTAATAAGTTTAAATAGACCAAAATTAATGAAGATAGAGCAAAAACACAAAAATAAATAATGGAAATTATATATATTTTCATGTAAAATAGATGAAACATAATTTTTTCATTTATATAATTAACAAATTATTGATACAAAAAATTGGTCAAAGTGTTATATGAATTAAAGTATCAAGAGAATTCAATGTAATTATATCAAAATAGCATGACTTGCTACATTTTTTTTCTAAACATCAAGTGAGACAATTGTAATTTACCCTATAAAATTTGACCTAAGTTTTAACAAAATGTCAAGATTTTATGAGAGTACTTGGTTTCATTTGGGAAATTGGTTGGCTATTTAGATTTTTTAGTTTTTTTAGTGTAGGGTTAAAAAGTCTCGTTTGGATTGGATTTTTTGACTTTTGTAAGAGAAAAAATAAAATGATTATAGTTCAGATGTGACATTTTGTTTTATTGATTTTTTAATTTATTTTATCTTTTTATAACTATTTTAGCTTGGTAACCCCATGCCAAACGAGAGCCCTATCTCTATTTGTCATGAGTTTTTTTTTTTTTTTTTTTTGTTACAGGAAAATCTTCTTTACTCTCCCGCAGGTCCAAGACAGCGCCCCTTGGAGAGATCACCAGGGTCCGATCTCCCAAGACAAGCTCCGCTTAGGTTAAGACTCGCATAACGGGGGATCCGATTTCCCAGGACAAGTTTCGCATAAGTCAGGACTCGCACAACGGGAGGTCCGATCTCCCAAAACAAGCTCCGCTTAAATCAAGATTTGCACAGTGGGGAGCATTGAACCCACATCAAGTGCTAATTAAACAACTTGAGGTCTAACCTCCTAACCAACTATGCTTCGCCCAGGAAAAAATTGAACCTGTGACTTGGGGGCTTAATCCCAAGCCTTAACCATAATGCCACCCACCCCTGGGTTATTTGTCATGAGTTTAAAAACAACATTTAAATTTTATTTTTGTGAACAAAATATATATGTATATTGAAATTTTGTATGGGTTGAACAATATTGTCAAATTATGACGCTTTAACATTGTAGCATTTTAAGATTTAGCTTTAATATTAACATTTTGACACTAATTTTGGCAACATAGTTAAAAGTTAGTTTTTTGATTTCTTAATTTTTTTAAGTCATATCACTTTTATATATATATATATTAAAAATCAAAAAATTAACTTTTAACTTACTTCCTAAAGTTTCCCAATTCATCAACTTAAAACTAAGCCCAAGCCAAACTCTTCATTTTTATTTTTTATTTTTGTTTTTTGATAAATAGGCTAAGCCAAACTTAGACAATCCAATTAAGCTTTCGTTTGACATAAAGAATTTTGAGGTTAAAAGATTAAAATAATCACAAAAAAACAAAATAAATTAAAAAATTAATTAGACAAAATGTCACATTCAAATCATAATTATTTTATTTTTTTCTCATAAAAGTAAAAAAAATAAAAAAATCCATTCAAAACAAAACTTGTTAACCCAAATTTAAAATAGTTAAAAAGTCAAAAGTCAATCTACATTTCAAACAAAGCCTAAGCCCATCTATATAATAAAACAAGGGTGTATTTAAATTGGAGATGGGACATTTGTTTGTGTGTCTAAATATGAACCATCAGATTGATTTAATCTAAGGGCTGAAAATATCTTACTCTCATTTGTCCTATTTGGACATTTCAATGGTTTAGATCAATTTTACTAAGTTTAATAAATGGTCCAGATGTAGCTTTGGTTTTCACCCTGAAAAACGTCTTCCTCTTTCTCTCACAAATGTCTTCTTCCTCTTTCTCTTTGATTTTGATTTCAAAATTTGAAACTCCATTCTCTCTCACACCTCTTCCTCTTCCTCTTCCTCTTCCCACCACACATCTTCGTCTCTCCACCAAGCTTTCTCTTTCTAGAAGTTTAAGTAATCTCCGGTGGTGATTTCCTCCGACGGAATACAACCCCGCTAAGAGGGGGTGATTTGTACCATTCGGCTCAATGTTTTTCCCCTCTCTCTACACAGCTCCAAGGCAAAAGGCTAAATCCTCACATTTTTTTTACTCCCCCTTTTGTTATTGTTCTATTGGGTTTGTTATTGTTCAATCTTTGCCTCCTCTCTCTTTAATCTAGACAGCTCTCTGCTATTTTTTTTTTTTTGGTTTTTTGGAAGAGGGTGTGTGAATCTAGCAAAATTCTTGAACAGAATTACCAGCATAGAATTATATCGCCTTTTTAAAAAAATGAGTTGGGCATGAGTGTTTACTATTATGAGTAAGAAATGTGTTTGGCACTTTACATCGCCTTTTTTAACACTTTAGTTCTTTCTATTCAACTTTTTTGTAAGCAGATTAGTTTTGGTTGAAGCTAACTTCTATGGTTGAATAAAAGAAGCATTGAGACTGTTCTAGATGCTTTGAGGACAACAATTGAATTGTGTTGAACTCCAGCAATCTGAACCAGTTGATGATTTATTATTATTATTATTTTATGGTTTGTATAGTTAGTCTTTGGGTTTGGGTTTGAACTTGCAAAATTTCATCAATGTGGTGAATTAATTGTCTATTTATTGTTGAGAAAGTGGTGAAAAAAGTAAAGAAAGTTAAATTTTGGTTACTGTCATTCCTGGGTTTTGCTTAAAGGTCTATTATGATTGTATTTTGTCAAATTAATATTTTTTTATTGGGTTTTGTACTCAATAACAATCAAGCACCATTAATCTATCTCATTATCTTTTTTCTACTCTATCTTTAAGCACCATTATCTTTAATGTATCTCTTTATATTTTTTCTACTCTATCTTCGACGGCGGCAATGGAGCAGACTAAGGTTGTGGGTAATCGTTTTGGCCTTGTTGGCTCTGTTTTAGTGTCTTGGTCTTGCTAGCTCTGTTCAAGGATATCCCAAAGAGTTATTTTAATTAGTTAGTTATGTTGGAGATGTTGAAACCATAGGAAAAGCTACTGGAAACTTTAATTAATTAGTTTCGTTGATTAATTAGTTGATTTCCTCTTGCTGATTTGCATTAATATCTGGTTTGTATTAGATTTGTATTGAATCAATTTCGATTGCTAGATTTGTATTAAATCAGTTTCTAAAGTCACCATTAATCCATCTATTTTTTTTTTTTTGAACAACCCATCAATCTATCTATTTAAGCACCATTATGTTTTCTGCCATACAGTGTAGTGACTTCGACGACGGCAATGGAGCAGACTAAGGTTGTGGGTATTCGGTGTTTGGGTATTCAGTGTTTTGTTCAATGAGATCCTAAAAAGATATTTTAATTAGTTATTTCCGTTGCCAAAATTGTGATAGATTTGAACTATACTTTAGTTTTGTTTGGTTTGATGCTAAACATTAGTTTTGTTTTTTATTTTTTGCAATATTTGTTGGTAACAGGATGTTTGGCTTCCATTGTAGGTTTAATGTTATTGTTTCAACTCCTTCCTCTCATCTTCCTCATTGTTTTCACTTCCCCACCATGGGTTTGAGACCACTTCAACTTTCTCCTTGATATAGCCGTCACAGCCCATTCTAAAGTCTCAACCATCATAGTTTTCACCATGGGTTTGTGGCGATTGTAAAACAACAATTGAGACTTGATATACAAAGTGCTGATGGATGACTGAAGCACTTAAAGCGATTTCGAGGCCACGATTCAATAGGTATCCTCCATCACAATATATGGTCTATTTCTTATTCTATCTCTACATTTGTGTAAACGTTTTTCAATAATTATTTCTAAATTCTAATTTTTATTCCTGTCGTTAATTAGAATAACACCCATCGGCTCCAACATTTGCAAATCGAGAATCAGATTCTTATTGAAGCAGCCACATCCTACAGTGCATTTGGCTGGATTATAGAGAGCTTCTAGCCATTAAGCAGGTTAGTAATTTTGTTTATTATTAGTTTGTTTTACATAGCATTTGTTTAGTAATTTGTTATACATACCATTTGTTTTGTTGTACATTTGTTATACATAGTCATCAAAAAAATTAGTAATTTGTTATACATAGCATTTGTTTTGTTGTCATTGGTATATGTCTGAATGAAGGTTACGATTACAGTCAATAGTGCTTCAAAAAGAGAAAACACAGGTTTAATTGCTTTATTACGTTTATGTTATGGATTCTTACAATTTGTAT